TTAGGCCAGTGATGGCGAACCTATGACACGCGTGTCAGAGGTGACACGTGAACTCATTTTTTTGGTTGATTTTTCTTTGTTAAATGGCATTTAAATATATAAAATAAATATCAAAAATATAAGTCTTTGTTTTACTATGGTTGCAAAGATCAAAAGATTTCTATATGTGACACGGCACCAGAGTTAAGTTAGGGTTTTTCAAAATGCTGACACGCCGAGCTCAAAAGGTTCACCATCACTGCTCTAGGATAACTGAGAATAGTGATGGCGGGAAGCCCTCACCGCAGACCGGCGTTACCGATGGGGAAACTGAGTCTCCGAGCGTGCAGAGCCCCACCCGTTGCTACTCGGAGACTCCGAGCCTCCGTCTTGGCTGCGTGGTAGAATCGCCTGGGAGTTTAGAAAACTGTCGATACTTGACCCCCCTCGGGCCAACGACAGCAGACGGCCCGGACGGAAACCTACCATCTCTCCTGATCGTAACGGACAGCCCGACCTCAGCACTGACCAAGCCCCTCGAGCTCTGGGTGCTTTTGTGATGTTCAGAGGAAAAGGAAGCCCTGGCTGGTGGGGCTCAGTGGATATGCCGGCTGATTGATCCTGGAAATACCCCTTTCCTGACGGGGGCCGTGTGAGCCCTGCCCCCAGCTCTGAGCTGGCCCACTGGCCAGGGAGGAAACGCCCGGGCACTTAGGACAAAGTCCTTTTCCGCCAGAAACCCTGCACCCCTGCTCAGTAACGGTTCCGTCAGAGGAGGCCCCTAGTTTTTTGGGGTTTTTTGGTTTTTTTAGAGAGAGAAGAAGGGAGAGGCTGCCCGCAACATAGTTACAGAGACCAAAGGATTTTGGGGTGTCGACCGCCTTGGCATCCTGGGCAGAGAGGGGAGGAGGGGCCGATCGTTGGGGGACAGGCTGCAGGGCGGCCCCTGCTGTCGGGGTTCGTCCCCCCACGGTGCTGGGCAGTGCGGGCAGGTGTCGCTAATGAGAAACCCTTAGATATCAAAGGTTCTAAGGATTCCTAATGGTACAGACTAGATAAATGTGTGCATGTGAGGTCGGTGTGAGACAGAGAAATCAGAGAAGCCCTCACGAGTACACTTACAGTTCAAGGATCCAGGAGGCCAGGCTCCGGTGGCTGAGAGCAGGGCTCGGGGCGGGGAGGAGGGACCGCGCCCGGCCAGGCTCAGGGACGGTCCGGAGGAGGAGCGGTGAGGCTGAGCCCGAGGGCTGGGGGCTCCCCGAGGCGTCAGCAGGCCGGTCTCTGCGTGGCCTCTCACGGGGACACTCACAGCTCTCGCTCCTGTCAGCGCAGACTCGGGGCGGACGTGCTGGAGAGACCGTGGCCGCCGCCCTTCTCAGAAACCGCTAATGAGTTTGGCCTCGAGGCCGTGAGTCACCCGCTCTGCTCTCCAAGGTCGTAGGCCCTGCCGCCGCCGGTTCCCGGAGCCTCGTGTGCCGGCTCCCCGACTCCCTGCGCCCAGGGCCTCTCTCCGTGCCCCGGAGTCAGACACCAACTCGGTGCGATTACTGTCAAAAGCAACACGTGGAACGTGTTTCAGACGAGCTCCCTGCGCCGCGGGAGCTGGTGTCTTTACGTGGTCGTCCCACTTGCAGAAGTGGCCTCCTCTCCCAGGAGAAGAGATGGGGACGCCCGGCCGCGGGGCACAGGGGCTGAGCGCCGGCCTAAGAGCCAGGAGGTCAGGGTTTGATTCCCGGTCAGGGCACAGGCCCGGGTTGCTGGCTCCGACCCCAGTGGGGGGCATGCAGGAGGCAGCCGATCCCTCTCATCATTCATATTTCTCTCTCTCCCTCTCCCTTCCTCTCCTCTGAGATCAAAAATATATGAAAACAAAACAAACAAACAAAAAGGAGGAGCCACAGGAGGGAGAGGAGAGAGAGTAGAAGGCCTGTCGCCGCCAGGGACGGTGCTGAGGGTGCGAGTCCCAGGGCAGGAGAGGGACTTACCGGGAGGCGCTGTCCCGCCCGGCCCGGTGGGTGGATGGGGAGGGGCCGGAGGGCGATGCACAGACACTGGTCTCTGAGGGAGTTCATGGCTCCCGAGGGCCGAAGGGCCGAAGGCCACGGGTCCCGCTTTAGAATCGCTCAGGCCCACGTGTCTACATGTTGTTACGTCTCCTGCGTGTGGGACCATGGGACCATAGACTCATTCTGTCACAACTTCCTCATGGTGCGGACTAGATAACTGTGTACGTGAGGCCGTCCCAGGGAGATACCTGGGGGGGTGGGGTGCCCGG